ATTGTAACCTTGTTTTGCAGCTCCACGTGTACGCAACACTACGGCCCACCGATGCTGAGGCGCAACTACCCTATTTTTCAACTCTCATGCCGTACGATGAACCCTCGATTCTGATTCTAGATGACATTGCAGGGACCGTTGTCATGCCACAGTTCAATGCATCGGGCAGCGATGATCATGACGGCGAACATGCGGCAAGGGAGGATTCAGAGAAGGAGGCATCCGAAGGAAGAAGAAGTGAGAAGCAGACGTCCGGAGGCGATGAGGAAAAAGGTGCATCAGGCAGTGATCCAGACGGTGGGGACAGTAAGGATACTGGCGAGTCTCATGGTGAGGGCTCTAGCGCCAGTGAGGACACCCGTGGAGGAGCTAGGGATTCCTCTTCCTCACCTTGGCCGCCACGAGACCCTTCTCCAGAGCGACGGAGCACAATGCAGGTAAGAGCCATAGGAACATCTGCACCCAGCCTGAGCAGAAGGGACGTGGAGGAGCTGCTCTTGGACCAAAGAATACTATTTGAAATGCGATTTCGGATAGTGAAGCTCTACATCCAACAGCACGTGACCTCCGAATGTACAATTCTTCGAGAGTTCTTAGGTACCCTCTGCGACGAGGGCCGAAACGGAGGTCGGCATCTCGGATTCTTTACCAGAAGGTATGCCTGTTACTTGCGTACAGCTTTTGCTTTACAATTTTAACCAACGTTCATCATTACTCATCATACCTCTGTCCGACGTAGTATTGTTCTTGTTTCTTACAACTTCGTAGACGTATATGGAGGACCCGTGGAGCCATGCCCGTACGAGTCGGACATCGCAATCGACAAAGGAAATATGCAAGGTATGTGGATTTTTCATTTGTACAATCTAAATGTATTACTTCATGTACTTTGCATGGTTGGAAATTTTCCCCACTTATTATAATGAAACTATTATAATGTTGTTTTCATTAGACGTAGCACACATTACGCCAATGCAGGACGATCTGAACCTGCTAGTGCCCGCTGCAAGTGAAGAAGTGCAAGGTACTGTGTCCTTTACGAGGGTTTTTTCCAATTGTATTTAACGGCATGCACACTTACATACGTGTTGTACTGGTCAGATGCAGGAGCCATGGAGTCCTCGAATGACGTCGAGGACGACGATGAAGAGGCGGACGGTTGCAATGTGATGGATGGCAATGGTAAGTTAACTGGCTATATTGGTAGTGGTTCCATTATGCACTTTTGATCGCATGCAATTTTGGTAACTAACTTGACCCATCTCTATTTTCTATAGGCGTTGTCACTGAAGTCCCAGCTCCTGGGCCGATACTCAAAGCACGAACCGGAGTTCCTACAACAACATGACGCTCGGCACGGTTGTGACGACCAGCTGTTGCTAAGAGGACTCCATTTACGGGGGGAGGGTGAAGCGAACCAAGAAGTAGCTGTTCTTAACTGGCCGGAGAGCACGACGATGGTTCTGAACTCATTTTTGGGTGGTGACTGAATTGGTAGATGTTTTGTTGGGATGTTAACTGGCTGGATTTTGTATGGTTTTTGTTTACCTTTACATTTTACGTACTATTGGGATATCGTGGCGATGCTTTCATGCATTCATCACATTTTGCGTTGTTGGTGTCAAATGCCATGTCGATTTCAGGAAAATGCTAACAGTTTTAGGTAGCAGTACAACATATGTTCAACTTATTTTCTGACTTTTATTACATGACTCTTCCAGGAAATTTAAAATTCTCGACGACATTATTGTTCTGCATATTTTCTATGAACTTTATTGTTCTTATGTGTTACATGTTTTTAGTGATTTCGCCCGATGTGTTCAGTGATTATCCGTGTATGGTGTATGTATGCCATTGTAGTGTTCTTTTGAATGTTGTTTCATTAGTTCGAGGATGGTGTACATATGCCATTATAGTGGGAATTGTGTCCTGAGGCAGTGATGTAAGGTAATTTTAAAATTGATGCCATAGCAACGATTTCTCAATATTGTGGAGATCATTTGGCATGTCAGATAGTTTGTATTTTTCCATATTATGTGGTTATTTTTATTCGAGTTTCTTTCTTTCTTGAGAGACCGCTTAACTTATAGTCCGTGAACATGGTGGTTGCGATGTTGGCAGAATTGGGAGAGAACAAGCTGGACAAGCTCATCTCATTTTGCGCAGTGCTAAACGTTTGCGGATCCCAAGGTAACTTAGCTATTCAGTTTATCTATGATGTGTAAAGGATGGAATATTGCTTGCGTGTGAGGATAGAATATCACAGACCTTTTCCTATTCTTGAAGCATGTCGAGAAAAATAATTTGAATGTATGCAAGGTAGGTTGGCTAGTGAAATCCTATGTTCATAAAATAATTGATATAAAATATTTTTTATAGGAACATACCCATATCCTACAATATGTCATCTGAACTTTGCGTTGATTTTATGTATCTTCTATCGGAGTAATTTCGGGAAGAAATGTGGACAAATAATTGTCTACCTTTAAGGGTGAGAGATATTTTATTCATAGACATATTTATTTGCTCGTAATCTCTACAAATTATGAGAGATAGTAGCATTACAGATTCAGTGTAAGTTTAGGATCACCTGCAATTCGAAGATATGATTATTCGTATTTGTAATTCATGAAAATGTTTGCAATTGAAATTTTCCAAACGCTTGGGATCACATGCAATTGAGTTATACGATTCTTCATGTTCTTAATTAATGAGACATTATTGCAATCGCTCAACCGTATAACCTTTGGCATATTTGTAATTTAAGGCATTTATTTGAATGTAGGTTGTAGAGATGGGAGCTCGTTCAGACGAAAGCCCGTTAGCCCAACGTCATATTTGGTGCACGTACATGAGATGCAGCGCATAGTGACAACGTGGAATTTTATATTTTTTTGGGGTGTAAAATTTTCTTCTAGTTCAAACAGTCGATGTCCTAAATTTGTTCGAACTGGACGTGTAGTTACCTATATTTGAAATGTTTAAAGGGAGAAGTATTTGTGTTGCAATGAAGCCCCTTGGCTCGCGTTAGGACGGCATATATCCGCTATAGTCGTAATTTATTGTTTCGATTATCACGTGCGAGTGCATTACTAATAGTCGTTAAATTTCAGAAGATGAGTCATTGAAAATGTCGAAACCATGACAATCACAAGCTTTGAGCTAGAAAATGACTTCATATTCGTTTCATTATGTTTCATGCGTCGTCGAACATGTACGTTGACATCATGAGCTACATGGATGAGACCCTGTATCCTTTTGAACTTGGTACAAGTTGTTGGAAATTAGTTTGACAATATTTTAGTTGCAGGATATCCCCATTGCTTAATAGTACACAAGATTTATGAGCCTTTAAGGTCCTGGTAATTATGGGAAAATGGGGATAAATGTACACTTAATTTATTGAACAATCACACCAATTACTTTTCACATAGACAATGAGATTGGACATGGTGGTTGGGAAGATGATGAACATAATTGCTCCCCATTCTTCTTCCTTATAAATACAGGATGTGAGTTCATTGTATCCTAGAAACAACCTAGCTGAATACCATTCTTAGAATTAAAAGTCCTGACATACTATTTGTTTCATCAATACTTTACAACATCGATATAATGAGTTCATCCACAGAAAGCACCGAACCATTCAACGTCAACGAACCAATACCAGTTCTCGGTTCATCTCTGTTATTTCCAATCTACATTTCGTCAGACGGTGAGGAAGCTAACCCTCGTATTGGTAGAAGAGCCATTTCTCCTATTCCATTTCCCAACTTGGAAGATGTAGCGACAGAGGGTGTGCAATCACCCAACGTAGTGTTCGATGAGGGTTTCGAGGTCGACGCTGGATACGAGGGAGGAAGTGACGACAACGAAGACGGGCTGGCATACGTCCCACATAATGAGGTAATTATCATCTCGTCGGACGAGTTGAGCGAAGACAGTAGGGGACAAGGCTCAGTTGTGGAGGGCGAATGAAGTGACACCCATCTTTCGTAGTGAATAAGTGATGTGTAGTCCTGTATTTTGTACTTTTTCTATTCGGTGAACGCAATTGTAAAGGTCTGCATTACCATTCCCATAGGATGCCACGGATGGTGTATTTTGGGATCCAACTGTCGAGAATGATAGAGACAATCTGTCGGGCACGACAAATGAAGTGTCGAGCTTCTGCAGCAGTATTTTGTAAATGGACCCATATTTTGTAGTAAGTGGACCCGATGTTATGAAATTGTGTTGATCGTGCGCTCAATTGTGTGGAGTATTGACGATGTTGCGAATTATAATCTGTTTCGTGGGGATTGAAAAAATTCTTTTCGAGTGGATAAAAAATCGGAAGGTTTGTAGAGTAGGAGGGCAAATTCTATGGTTTGAAAGATATATTATCTCATACGGTTTTGCGTGTGCGTATTTGGAATAATGTAAGGTGACAATGGGTGTGCTCACACCATACGTTAAGCGGATGTTAAAAATTGAGGCGTATCATGCCGTCAATCCAGTGAACTATTTAAAATGTTGCAATTTATAATTCACTTCGTCGGGACTGAAAAAATCATTATTACGTGGACAGTAATTTATTATGTGCACACCTTAGGTGTTGCTTACTACCATCAATGTAGCACGATTGTGGAGTTGGAGGGTGTACATGCTTTTAAATATGCTGTGTCCTGTAAGATTTGTGATTTTATTTGATTGTAGGAATGAAATGTACAGTTCACCATGTACGTGAACCTGATATTGAATGCGGTGCACATTTTCGTCAACTGTCGAGAATGAATGAGACATCTGTCCAAACCGATGGTTTAACCGTAACTATGAACAACTTCTCAATTATCAGAACTTAGCCAATGTCAGTTCGTAGATGTACAGAGAATGGTAGATACATCAGAAATGTGGAATTGTGATGTGACACATGGGTACAATTGATAACAGAATTATAATAAATGCATTGATTAGGTGCAAACGACATGGGTAAAAAGTAAACATACAACTTCGGCCAGTCACAGAGAAGAGCCTATTTGAATGGGTCGTGGTACAATGGGATTTGAACATGTGGTCCGATTATGACCTACTTTACCACAGCGAGTGCATTTCCTCAATCGTGTGGTGGACTCGTGTCTGGATCGATGACGTCGTGTGGGTGGTCTACCTGGAGGACGACGTACACTCGGTGGCAGAATAGGAGTGCTTGAGATTTCATTCGGGACAATCCAGTCCACTTCACGCGTAAGAGGATAGATTGCTTCGCTGTAGGCACCCCTCCAGTAATCCGATGTGTAATACGATGAGTATAAATCGTACAATAACTTACCTCGCAAGCAAGCAGCGCGACTTGCAAGAATGCATGGCATACGATTAAGCTGAAACTCACGATAAGTGCACGTGTTATCGGAGAAATCCACGATATACGTATCATTGGATAGTCCAACTTGTGTTAAGTTCTCTGTCAGGCCTTGAGCTCGAAGCCTTGCACCTGCCTCGAACGTTGTTCGTAACTCGCTTTCCATCCTCGATGACAACACGGCACTACATGCAGTTGCATTGGTTCGATGGTCGTAGAGTTTGCCGAATGTGTTCCACCAAGCATGTGATCGGCAATGAACGTGCATGTCTCAATATTGAGTTTAAAGATTCTGCGTTGTTGTCTGTCAATATGTTGTGACGTTGCCCAAAGAATAGTGCTCGTGACCAAAATGAAAAACCAGCTCGCTCCAAGTACCCGTACGCGTGTTCACTTACCCTACGGATCTGTCCCATAAGTCTTTCAAACTCTTCGACCCGAGAAGTTCTTGCAGTTAGTTTGAATAGAAATATTGCACTTGCGTTGTTGTATCGCTGGATTAAGTTCTTCTCCAGATGCCAAATACAGTATCCACGCTGAGACAGAGGAAATACGTGAGCAATGGCATTAGAAATACTATTTTTCCTATTGGAATCAAAAACCAATTCAGTCGAGTCTCCTATAAGCTCTTTCAAGTTCGACATAAACCACATCCACGATCTATTTGTTTTGGCATCCACGATCCCCCATGCTAGGAGATAAATCTGTTTGTTGGCATTTTGGCCGGTTGTCAGCAGAAGTGTACCCTTGTATGGACCTTTCAAGTGACTACCATCAACACAAATAACAGGCCTCAAGTAGTGTATGTAACCACGAATGCTTGTACCGAAAGCCAAGAAGAAGTAATAAAACCTGTTACGGGAATCAACTTCAATGTGGGTTACTGTCCCCGGGTTACTCTCTCCTAGGACGTGACAGTATGATGATAGTTTTTGAAAACTATCCCCCGATGTACCGTGTAGCATATGTAAAGCAGCCACCTTGTCCCTATGTACTTTTTGGTAACTTATTTTCACACCAAACTCCATTCCATGTCACGTGCAATAACGGTAGGATAGTACAATCGGTATGGATTATCCAATTTTTCCAAAATATGCTCGGCAATTACAGAAGTATTGGCATGTCGATGTGCGTTACGACGAAAATCTATGGAACGTGTGTGAACATTGTTGAATTTACGGATCATGAATATTGCAGACTGCTTCACACTCGAAGCCCGTAACATCCACTTGCAATTATCGTCTGCACATACTACAGTTAACATTTTGAGGCTTGACCTGCTCACCTTAAAAAGGAACTTGTCCTGCAAAGCAAGCACACGAATTTTGGAGTACAGCTCTTTCTTACTGAAGAATATCTGCCGTTCAACAAGATCGAATGTACTTACACTTGTAATCCATTGGTATGTATCCAAACTTTGGGAATGTGATGACATTCTCTCGTCAACGTCGGCAATATTAGCACCATTTTTACCATGTAACGACTCGTCCAACATCTCATCTAATGGTATAGCCCCAATGTATTCAATTGGACTATCGGCTACATTATTGTTTGGGGCTCTAGGCTCTTGACGGACATCATCATTAGCATGGGGAACATCCGCTGCTCCGAACGATGGGTCATGCAAATTTGTGTCCCTCCCCATGTTAACACTCGGCAAATCAGTTTCCAAAATAGTAATGCAGATTGCAGTTTCCGTATGAACAGATTTGTACTAAATTAGGTCTTCATCTTCACGTATTTCGGCCGATGGTAAATTGAAGTTCGGTACTATGAACTTTAATTCAATTTTTGTGCGTAGATTAATAACACCAAGTTTGTCATTCAACAATAATAGAAGACCGGCTACGGAAATACTTCTCGGCACTAAAATGGAAGTGGTTTTGTCCCCTGTCCACTTCCATTCGTCATCCACGTGAATGAACTTTCCTCCACATGACACGATAAATCTGAAATGATTGTCCATGCCTGAAATATTGGGATTAAAACGATAAGAATATAGATCCAATGAATGTGTCGATATGTATTAGCATGGAAGTGATACTTTCCAATATTTAAACTGATGCAAAAACATAAGGTGAAATGAAGGGCGTCAACAGTTTTCAACTGTCGATTTCGACAGTTGAAATGTGTAACCCGACAGTTATTAAATGTCGGGTTCGACAGTTCAACTGTCGGAACTGTCAAAAAGTTTCGAGTGTGTTTGGTACCTTGTTGAAAACATTAATGGTCATAATGAATTCTCAACTACAACAACTACATCATCACAACATTTGTCTAGAAATAAATGACTGAATGCTTTATTAAGAGCATCATGAGTAATAAGAATTTTTAAACCATTTTTCACTTCCATATCATGTTGTTTTTAGCATTTCAAAAAGACAAAGCTATTCGATAAAAATATAAACAATTCGTAAAAACTAACATCTTAAAATGGTTGATGAATCCAATACTTGTGTCTTCTTGATCAAGAAATGAAGAAGAAGGATGAAGTGAGGGTTTGTTGGAGAAGAGATTTGGTTGATGTTAAAATGAGATTTTCTACTTCTTTTATCTTTTCTTGTTTTCTTGTAAATTCGTATTTACACATACAATATACATATATCCATAGATTATAATATATAAATTTAAATATCCATGATTATAATACATAAATTTAACTAATCAAATCATAGCATTAATTGGATTGGAAAGGTAGCATTAAATGCTCCTAAAAAAGGGAATGAAGGGTAAGTTGAACATTTCTAATTGAAAAGGTGACATTTTTGATAAAATTTGGTGCCCATGCAAATTTTTGGTGCATTTTCAAAATAAGTGACATTTTTTATAATTCCCATAAAACAAATTGCCAAATTTGGTTTATCAGATTTAGCGTATATAAAAATGGTCATGTTGTAGTGTGTCAGAGGTTGAGAAATGCCACATTTGGACGTTTGTGTTCTTCATGATACGCTAGGTCATCGGGATATAACCAGCATTTGTGAATCAATTGATCCGCCTGATACAGCTCGTTACATTGCAATTGATATTTCAATGGATGATCTAAAAACATGTTTGACTGAGTTTCTAAGCATTGAGGATATGGCAATTTCAATTTGCGACTTCACTCTTATATCCTTAGAAATACGTTATAGGCAATGTGACGAGCATAGATGAATATAAGGACCCAGCTATAAGGAAGTTGAGCGTTCCAGCTTATGAGATTCGCCTTAACAAGTGTGCCACAATTCCACTTCTTGTTGAGGATAAGTTTTCCACTACGGAATTAGTGGATAGGAAAGAAAAACATGATGATTATATAACTCTAGAAGTCTCTTTGCCAAATGGCTATGATAAATCTGTTGATCAACCTTATTCATGATTCATATCTTTGCCTGTAAGTTTACTTAGATTTCTTGATAGCTAGCTTTCGTCTCCGTAAGATCTTTCTCCCATCAATGGGTGAATTCTAGTGAAAATCAAATGTTGTTTTTGGTTTGAGGCAGTTAGTATTCTATACATAGCTATCTAATTGGGAACTGAAATTGCACTAATATTGCTATGACAATGATAAATTAATGGAAAGTAGGAATGCTTTTGTATGACACATATTCGCTTTCCATGAGGTATGTGTCATTGTTTCTAAAATTACACATTCCCAATTAACAATTATTATCATGCTCTTTCAGATATTTTGATTAAAAGTATAACATAAAGCAATAGGTCTTGAAGTTGAAAAATGAAAAATAAAGATTTATCAACGACTGATCAACATCCTAATATCAATTCATTCTATTTTGGAAATACAAAACAGCTAATCTCTTCCCAAGACGCCATAAACAATATGTTTTTAGTTCAGCTCGAAACAGAATTTGATCCAATCAAATTTAATTTCACCATATACTAGAGTCAAGTAAATGTTCCAAATCTAAATATAAAAAAAAAAAAATAATAATAATAGAAAGAAGAAGAAGAAGAAGAAGAAGAAGAAGAAGAAGAAGAAAAGTGGACATGTGAAAGCATTACATGTAAATTGTAATATAAATTTATTGCGTATGAAGCATACTACACAAGATCTAATTTATGACCCTTGCTTTCGTTTTCTCACAATGCACATCAAGAAAGGCTGCTTACAAGTCCGTTTATTATTGCTTTCCCTCCACAACGTCCCCATATGTTGCGTCACCACACATTGCACATTAGGATGTGTCAAGACACCGATTATTTCTTCAAATCTGACATCATTTGTTTCCATTACTGGTATCTCACTGCTTGAAATTAGATCACGTGTGATTGGATTTCTTATTGTAAACTCAGTCGGGAAATGTCTGAACCAATGCAGTGATCTAGGTATGTCAAGGAGTTGACTCGCGAGCCGAGTCTCAGGCTCGAGTAAAATGGTGCGAGCTTTTCTTGAGTTCGAGTCGAGCCGAGCTTTTGCTCGACCAAAAAATTTAGACTCGTCTAAAATTTTCGACTCGAGCTAACCTATTTTTTTTCTCATAGCTGCCTGTTGGTAGCATATTTACTGCCTCAACAGGCAGCTTTATGGCTGCTGACAGCAAATATATGTTTATATTATTTCTGTCATTTTTTTATTTATCTGGTAGGCTCGTGCCAAAATGGCCCAAAGGTCAGCCCGGGCTCGAGCCAACGTCCTGAAATAGGGCTAGGTGCCTTCGAGTGATATTTGTAGAAAAAATTGACATTCTCTAGTCCATTTTCTTCATGTCTAATTTTGAAATAGTTGTTAAATGCAGAGCTGAATTCAATTTCCTTCAGTTACAAAATGTTAAGTTATACTTTCTAAAGTTAGTATATTTAAGAATAATAAATATTATAATTAGTAAACTGGGATTTAGAATTTTGTGGTGGGGGCCGCATACATGAATTTTTCCGTACTTTCTATATGTATTTTTTTATTACAGAAAGATGTTAATTGCATATTAATTTACACACTCGATAAGTTAGGTCTTGCAGGATATGGGCCCTGAGGTTTCGAATAAGCGTTGGAGTAAATACTGACACACTATCCAAAGTCCAAACCCTTAATTCTTTCGTTGTTAATGGGCCGGATCATGTTCTACCGGCGAATTGAGCATGTTTGGGTGCGCTTAAAGCCTATATTTAAAATCAACCAACAAATCGACTCAGAATCAATAATTAATTTTAACCGCAAATTTCATGGAACCACAATTTTTCAACTACATATTTCAAATTTTTTATCAAAATTTAAAAATATGAATTTAATATATATCAGACAATGCTATAACTTATATTACTTTTTAACCATTTTATTATTCAAAAAAATCAGCGGCGAATTGAGCATGTTTGGGTGCGCTTAAAGCCTATATTTAAATTCATAGGAAAATTTAATAATTCCCTAGTTTGATTCCAATAAATGTCTTTTTTTTAGGAAAATATATTTTGAAATAGTGATTTTTTTTAATAATGTGTGATTTAAAAAAAAGGAAAAATTTTGAATTTACATGTAATATTATTTTAATGAAGAAGTTAAAAAGAGAAAAGAGAAAAATGTATTTTGGATAAAATAGAGCCCAAACAGGGAACAATGTTACAAAGATTAGGTGAAAAAAAAATCATTCACAAATTGTTGTAAATAATTAATAATTAATGTTTGTCACAATTACTGTATTACTTACTCAATATCGTGCACTTAAACACAAAAGATTCTAGCCTGAATTCGAGTTGAATTCTCATTTTCATCAAATTAAGAGTCGGACAATAATTAAAGATACACTAAAATTTTGACACAGTAAAAGCCAAAAGGGGAGATAATAGATTGTTTTCCCAAATTAAGATACATTCAAGCTAATTGACGAATTATGAGATATAATTGAAAAAATGCACTCAATTCAAGATTTGGAGGTTTTGGATCAAGGACGTGTTATTGATCACTAACCTCTATGTGCTCAAGATTGGAGATTAAGGGTGTATTTGATTGACTTTATTTTTTATAAAAAAA